TTTTCAGTTTTTATAAAATTATACCAAATTATTAGTTTATTGCTTACTGTTTATCCTTTTATTAGTTAATTAGTAAATAGACTTATTTGATTCAATTTCTTCTATAAGATTTTAATAAAATTTAGTTAAATTAAAAGAAAAACATCTCTTCGCTTCGTTTCCAATCCTTGTTTATTTTTTTTTACTTTTGTATACGGTTTGAATCCCGGAAATTATTAATTCAAGGACATCTTTGATGTCAATACGTTTCGCAGACGTATCAAGAAAATGAAAATTTTTTGTGTAGATGATTTAAAAAAAAACGATTGTTTTTATATTTACTTTCGTAAAATTTTAATGTAAATGGAATTTCCTATATAAAAAATAAATCGAATTGGCTATGGACAAATCATTAAATAGGGATAGTGTAGGTCACTTGATTAGTTGTCAAAAATAAAATGATGCAACCATCTGTGCTTGTTTTTTTTCATATAGACTGTGACCATAGTTAAGCAACCAAAGCTAATGATCGGCTCCTGCTTGGATGGGTGATATGAAAATATGAACGTTGTCGTTTCGCGATAGCACGCATTATCTATTCATCGGCGCGAAACGATTTAATTAAGTTAATCTCGATTAACGGCGGTTAGCGGATAGGGTTGTAGCATCGATATAGTATAGTAATACTAGTTGTATTGATGATGGTTACGGTGTGAACATCCTATTAAAGTTTGGGCGTTGTGCATGCGCTCGCTCTCTCCGTCTCCATCCTCATTCTCATCATCCTCCTCCCATTGACGGACGTCCTTTCCAAGTTCTGTTTTGTTTCGAAACCTAATTAGCGTGTGCGTCGCAACTTAGACTAAAACTAAATTCGACGAAAACACGCGCTCTACGTGTCCTATTTCATTATGAGATTCACGCAAAAATCTTCGCTCCGCGATATTTGGTTTCGCGTTAACAAAACTTTGCTTTCAACAATTTTCCATTGAAGGCGTTTCCCCAAGGTAACGTTCTCGGTTCCGCTTAACTTCGATGCAAAGTTAATTACGAAGATATTTTTTTTTCGTCGTGATTTTAACATTAGTGTTAGTTTTATAGTAAAATATTTGTATTTTTTTTTTGTTGTGAAAGCTTAAACAAATTATGTTGTCTCCCATCATTTTGTGGCTAACGAATTTGGTCGTCGCGCACATCACGTAGAACTGCAGTCGTCCGTTCGTCCGTCCACTTTGTCAGCTCAATAAGAACTTCTTGTCTCGTCCCATCTTCATCGGATCTCGGCAATTCAGTGCACGTAATTGAAATTACCGCAATTGTATGTTACGTCTTGTTATTTATTTGCTGCTTAAAAGAGCTTTTAACGTATTTGATTTGTTAAACATAATTGAGTAGATCCATTTTTTTAAAATCAATATTAAACTCATTGTTCAATTTGAAATCATGTAGACATTTTAATTTTACGAAATTCAACCAAATTATTCGTTTATTGCTAACGGTTGAAGCATTTCTTAGTCAATTAGTAATTAGACTTTGTTGTAAAATATTCAGTTTCTATACAATTATAGCAAATTATTAGTTTTTTTTTGAGTCAATAGACTCATTTTCAGACTCTTAAGACAATCTTAAACTCATTATACAATTTTTTAATAAAATCATGTAAAATTTGAAATTTGTTTTTAATTTATCCAAATTATCCCTTTATTTTTTAGTCAATTTTAATAAAATGTTGAAAATTTTCAGTTATTATAAAATTATACCAAATTATTAGTTTATTGCTTACTGTTTATCCTTGTATTAGTCAAATAGTAAATAGACTCAGTTGATTCAATTTCTTCTATAAGATTTAAATAAAATTTAGTTAAATTAAAAAATTAATTACGTTTTTTTATCAATTAATATTCATCTATCAACTATGTTGAAACAAAGTTTTGATTACTTGATGAATCATGTAAACTTTAATTACAATTCTTTTAAGTTAAATTTCACTTTTAGAATTTTCATTTAATTTGTTTTACCGAAGCAAAAAAATCACTTAGTGCTCTGATATTGATATTTAAGGGTAGTGTCGGAATTTAATTAATGGTGTGTAATATGATGAAAGCACCGTCGTCTCAAACTACAAGGGTTTTCCTTAATTCGACACTCTAATCGAATTTCTAAATTAAATGATTAGTTTCTTGATTTTTGTTAGTTTACATTTCAATATTAATAAGTCTATGTGTGTATTTTATAAAATAAGCAAGTATTTTGTAATTCTATTGTATTTTAAATGAATTCTGTGCGTTTTGTGTAAAGTAATGTAAACGTGTGTAGTTAAAAAGAAAAACATTTTTCTTCTTTTTTTTTTGGTTCAACGAGTTTTATTGGAGAAAAAGTGTGCGTTTCGCAAGTGTGTTTGTTTATTGATAGAGAAGAGATGCAAAGTGCACAATTAAGATGTGTTTTTATTCATCGTAAAATGGAATTAAAGAAGACCTTGGCGATCAGTTGTAGATAAGACTTTAATCGGATGCATAAAAGGATTAACGCGGATGACGAAAACGCGGCTGAGATACAGCGAAAGAGAATGATAAGAATTGAGTCGACAGTCGCACTGTGAGCAAGTGATAATTCGTACGAAGAAATCTGCTGAACAGTGAGAAAACAGTGTTATTTCTTCCGATTTGGTAACTGAATTTGTGGACGTCGTGAGTAGAGGAGAAGAGTATAGGATGGTTGGGTGGAAGAGCGGACACGGTTTAGTTTAGTGGGGGGACGAGCGGCGGTTGAGAATACCGGAAGGCAGTCGCGTTTCGGGTGTCGCCAGAAGCCGATATACCCGGCGCGTCCACCGAAAATCACAGCGCGCGCAAAACCGAACTCTGTCTTGCCTGACATCATTAAAACTTGCGGTTTCCATTTGAAATTTCCCGGTGATTTGTACAAAACTTCCCCATTTACAACTACCGCTTCACGTTACATTTACAGAGTGCAAAACTGGGAGTGAGTGAGTGTTTTGTAACAATTATAACAATAGAATTTTGCATTTTCAAACAAAACGAAAACTAAAAAAAAACACGAGAACGCACGTAAGTATTTAACTTTTTTTTTTTTATTTATTTATTTATGTGTGTAACTTTTCTGGAACGCTTCCTTTTGCATATAATAATCAAATCACGAGGATATTTCATTGTGCACCGTAAAAGTTTCCAAGAATTATAAACTTGTTGAATATTTCACGCCGCTACACACGGAAATTCCTATTCAAGTTTAATTGATGCGAACGGCATTACGGAAAATTCCATTTTGCAACATTAACAACTTCAATTTTTTAATGATTATATTTCGTAAAAAAAAAAACAACTTTAAATATGATAGTAGGAAGAAATCTACGGATATTCAACGGATCACTTCATAAATTCTGAAATTATTACTTTTAAAATGTATTGTGTTATTAGAAAAGTTCGTGCCGATTTTCGTAAAATTCTCGATGACTTAATATATCAGAATTGTTAAAAACAATTATTTTGTATACATATTCTGAAAGATGAAATTTGAAGCGTTTTTAGATAAATAATTGGTTCGGATCAAATGATTTGTGTCAGCTTTTGAAGATGGAAGAAAATAATGTGTATTTCAGACTTTGATACTTTTCAATTACTGTAAAGCCAAAAAAGTCACAAAAGCAATAACAAAGATATATTTAGCTTACGGAGAAGTTGCTTTAGCTAAATGAACTTCAGGAACACAATTCTATAAATTTAGAGCTGACGATTTCAGCCTTAAAGTTCTGCTAGTAATAATGACGAAATCAGACATTGATCGAAACGCGAATGAGCAGAGATATGAAAAATATTAAGACGAACGTTTTTGAAGCTTGCTTAGATAAACCGTTAAGATATACGAGTTTTGCACAATTTAACGGACACAAATCAAGACAATATCAGCCCTTATATTTCTTTTACTGCTCAACAAAAATTGTTCGAGTCAGACAGACTTGTATTTGTCCACCCGTAGTATTCACCAGGCAATTCACCTTTGCAAAATTCCATTAATTTTTAGTCAACATAAACCTGAAGAAGTTTTTTTTTTGACGAAAAACCTAATAAATTCTGTGAGGATGTAATGTTTAAGTTGCGTGAAAGATGAAGAATGGTATGTTCTTTTGTAATTAAACATTATAGCAATAAAGTTGTACATGGCGAGATATTGAAGACGTCGTGCAGATTCTCCTTCACCCCAAGCGGTCATGCTGCAGCAGCTTTGATTCCCTTGAAAGTAGGTTTCAAAATCGCTTTCTGAAGAATTGTTTAAACGGTTTCCTCATCGCAGTGTATTCTCCTGGATAAAGTTCCGAAGAAGCGGTCACACTATGCAATTAAAGATTGTCTGAATTGATTATTCAGACTGTCCTAATCTTCTAAATACCTGCACGTGTTCACGTCGTCCTGGATTTCGTACATATTGCACAATTTCTCATCTTTTACACGCAAAAACACATCAATATGATTCTCAATAATCTGCAACTTTTAAACAACAAAAGTTCAC